ACATCATGCTTGGGAGGGTTGAGGGACAACGCAGGAGGGGAAGACCCTCTTTGAGATGGATTGATTCGGTGACTGGGGTAATCGGGATGGGCGTGTCAGAGGCGGTGCGGTTGGCGCAGGATAGAGCAGGGTTTAGGGCTGTTGTACATAGGGTCGCTATGAGTCGGAAACGACTCGACGGCACATAACAATAACAACAATTAGATAATATGTATTATGTAACATAATCCTAAAAAAAAAGATGGTTTTTTAAAATTTTGTCCAATATCTAACTAGTCTGCTACTAAAAGTTATTTTTTAAAAAGGCAAGAATATTAAATAATTGAAAACTAAATTTGCTATCAGAGTTCTGTCTTTTACAGTCACAGCTGGGAAATAACTGAAGCACTTAAAAGGGGTCACTAGAGGCAACCACTGTGGGGAAACACAATAATCAAGCTGAGAGACAGTAGGGACAATCGAATGCAGAGGTGACAGTTTTGGAAATCAGAGTCCATTTTACTTGTGAGGAGACTTTTCTTTTATAATTCTTGACAATAGGGACACATGGAAAGACCTCAGTAGTATTTTGTGAGTTTATGACAATATTATTTTCATTTTTTTCTTTTGGCATATCTAGATAAGATGGTAAAATAATGGGTGGCTATGCATAATTTATCTTATTATTAGTCGCATCCATTAGAAAAGCAATGACTCTCCCTTTAAGCATGTAGGTTACCATATTTGCAGCTCAAGCTCTGACATTTTTTGCACACTGAAACCAAATTAGGCTAATTTAATGAGACCCAGTTTAAGAATATCGGTCATAAATGGGAGGGTTACTTTTGTTTGAAAGATTCTGTGAAATTGATAGTGTTCTGTTAATGCTTCTCATAACTTTATTTGGTTCTTTAGGCAATGCCATTAGCTTGCTAGCAATCATGATACTGGTTGGGGACAGCCTGCATAATTTTGCAGATGGCCTGATGATAGGAGCAGCTTTCTCATCTTCATCTGAATCTGGAGTGACCACGACAATTGCTATGTTGTGTCATGAAATTCCACATGAAATGGGTAAGTCTGACAATGATGAGAAATTGCACTTCTTTTCAAAATAGGCTTCTCTTTCAAGCATATGAATGAAAGATGAAATTTTCCACTCATAATTTATTTAAACCAAAAGAGGAAGAGGAGGAGAGAAAAAAAATCCTGTACCTCAGGCTAAAATTCAACAAGGCTTTCTTACAACATTTCCCAGGGTCAGAAATATTTTGAAGGTGCATTCTATAATGGAGAATGTCAGTCAAAGAAACTACATTTTCAAGAAGTTTGACAAAGTCTTTGAAATCTGCATACTAAATATGGGAAAAACATTAAGAAAGGAACTGTACCCATTAGGTTAACAAACAGACCAATGAGATAAAATAACATTTAAATTAAAACCAAACCGTGGTTTCATCAACTTGATTTACACAACGTGTTTAAAGCTAAGCATAAAATTGAAATGGCAGGCGCTTGGTAGCAGATGCCTATGTGACTCTTTTTTCTGGATAGCTGTAATAAACCTGAAATTTAAACCCTGTCTCCCAGGAATCAAGATGGGCTAGAAAAGATATCCCTAAAACAGGCCCAGAGCAAGCCCAGGCTGGCCCAGGAAGAGAGCTTTCAAAGTCACTCTTTCTGCATTTACTTTGAGACCTAGATTGTACCCAGATCACTATTTTGCTCAGTTCTCAGTGTCCAAAATTCTTTCTCTGATTCATCGTTAACCCATCTTTTGTTGAGCAGTTTGTACAAGATCCCTCCTGAGCTCATTGGAATGTATCCCATATAGCTTCCATGTTCTCATGCTCCTGCTTTAAGCTGTTGTATTAATAGTTTAATGTGCACTCTCAGTTGAATACCACACTTTAGTATGGAAAGATGTTTATAGGATTCAGTTATGCCATACAACTAGAAAATGGAATCCTGGCTTTTTATTGATTTCCGGTCTTTCCCAAGTCTTGGAAACTTTTAGAAATAGAAGTAGTATGCACTCTGGTGGCTTAGTAGTAAGCAATTTTGCTGCCAGGGAAAAGGTATGCTATTCGAATCCACAAACAATTCTGTGGGAGAAAGATAGGCAATCAACTCCTGTGCAACGTACTGCCTCTGAAAACCTGCTGAAGAGTCAAGTATGGGTCAGTTCTGACTCTCCAGTATGCAACAACAGCATCATAATTTATGAATAAGTAATTATTCTTTTTGGAAACAGGAGTGACATCTGCGTCCTAAACAACATGCTTCGGAAACTCTATGAACTTTGATAAATGTCAATAGTTGCAGAGGGCTTCAGGCCTTTTGTTCATAGGGTTGCTATGAGTCGTGCTAGACTCAAAGGCAATCAACAACAACAACAACAATTCTTCTTTGGGGAAAGATGTAGGAAGGACTATAATATTTTTATAGGTATCAAGACAGTAAAACAGGTTTTTAAAGGGAATGTTCTTTTTTCCTAAACAGCTTCTGTAATGATTTTAAAGTCTTAAATCAAGTAGTCTTTATTTCTCTCCATGACAGTGCCTGCATGAGTCAATAATAAAGTCCACATCATATTTATTGCCTCATGATTTCAACAGACAAGATTTCAGATCTCTGTAAAAGCATGCGACTTTTTAATGCAAAATGATTTTGCATTTATCTAAGTAGAAAATGTCAGTCTTCAGCAATCTGAGTGTGCCGCAGATCTCTGTAGTTCTAACTATAGGAACAGCATGTTGTTGATGTTGTCCAGTACAGTCAGAACCGATCCATAGCTGATCCTCCAGTTGGTTTTCAGAGTCAGTTAAGCACATGGGAAAAGATTGCCTATCCTTCTCCCATGGAGCATCTGGTGTTCTCAAACCATTGCCTTTGGGATTGTAGCACAGCTTCTTGCCTTTAGATCACCTAAGCTCCCTGTGAAAGAACTAAAAAACTAATTGCCATTCATTTAAATTCTACTTATGGCGACCCCAGGTGTGTCAGAATTGAACTGTGCTCCATAGACTTTTTGGAAGTAGATCACCAGATCTTTCTTCCAAGGTATCATAGGATAGATTCAAACCTCCAACTTTCTGTTTAGTGGCTGAGCATATTAACTGTTTGACCCACCCAGGGACATATAAGAAACAGAATGCTTGAAATGTAACTTCCTAAGAGTTTAATGCCTAGGTTGCTTCTTGGAGGCAAGGATGGTGAAGCTTTGGGCTTGTTAGAAGGGACGCTTCCTTGGACTACGACATCATGACTGGAAAGATGGAGGGTCATAGAAAGAGAGGAAGACCCTCAATAAGATGCGCTGACACAGTTGATGATAACAATGGGCTCAAGTTTATATCAGAGATGATGTGGATGGCACAGGATATGGCAGGTTCAGATGAATTCTTCATAGGGTTCATGAGTTGTAGTTGACTCAATAGCACATAACAACAGCAACAACAACAAAATGTATAATGAATTGGTATGAATCCTAGAAAAATATATGCAAAAGTACTAACCATCCAATTTCGAACATTTGTCCCATTTGCTAAAATTTAAGCTAATCTAATGCTATGGTGGCCCTCGTGGCAACAAGCTGTGCTGCAATCCCAAAGGCATATGGCCATCAGCCACTCTGTGCTAGAAGGATGGGTAATCTTCTCCCATGTGATTAACTACCTCTGAAAACTGGCTGGAGAGTCTGCTATGGGTCTGTTCTGACTTGAGGGTATACAACAACAATAATAGGAAATTAGTTTAATACTAGTATCACTCAGATGCAAATGATGTATTTTTTTCCCCTTGAAATTTCAGGTGACTTTGCTGTGCTCTTGAACTCTGGCCTTTCGGTTAAGATTGCCATTTTGATGAATTTTATAAGTGCTCTCACAGCCTTCTTGGGACTGTACATTGGCCTCTCAGTATCAACTGATCCATGTGTTCAGAACTGGATCTTAACAATTACCGCTGGGATGTTCTTGTACTTATCCTTGGTGGAGATGGTAAGCCTTAGAGATTTCCTATCTTGTTTTTCTGATCATAGTAACTATCAACTATAGAAAAAGCATTAACATGGGTAAAGGAGAGAGAGATAATATACATCATAATATAAAAAGACTTAAGAGGGTAAGAAGGTAATTTTAAACACAAAATAGTATTGTTGGTAAATTTAAGTGGAATGAATGAGACCTTTGAATTGTCAAAAAGTTATTACTAACCCATTCTGTTCTCTTTGCAAGTATATGTGAAATTTACCCTTCCAACTTAAAAAAAACAAAAACAAACTCACATCTGTTAAACAGTCAGCCACTTTATTTATAGAAGGCAAAAGAGTTTGCATTTATCATTGAATCAAAGGATTGTGTGACTTAATTAAGCAGCTGTGTTATAAAGATCACTAATTTAATCTTTAAGTTTTATTACCAAAGGCTATCTATACCGTGTGAGAGAGAAGATTATTATACAATTGGGTCTCTAGAATGGCAACATATATCTCTTAAAGAGGTCCCTGCTTACTCTAATGATAACTTTTCACTTTTGGCACTCTTAAGGACCAATGGAATTGGAAACACTTTTTTCTCTTAAAATTCTGATCTCTCACTGATGATTTTTAAGGTCACCTTATTGGATTTATTAATAACTTAAACATTGCACGCTGAATGCCGTTATGATTCTTGTTCAGATAAGGCAAATAAAAATGACAGAACTAACAAAAGAAGTATTAAGTGATGAATAATCAGCAGGAAACTAGTCTGAAAGGAAGTAAAATACATTATTATAGATATCATGATGCAGATGAAATGAAATAAGCTTGAAAGTAATATATAGAATACGCCTGTTGAGATTAATTGATGTGGCTGAGTTAAATTATCATCTTGGAAGTAAATAAAGAGAAAATGCTTCTTAAGTAAAAAAGTCTGGGAAGCAGACATTGGTTTACACAAACAGAGCAACAGTGGCTTTATGAATTCAGTTTCAAAGAAGAACTCTCAAAGGAAACACCATCACCTTTTAAAATCTCAGTGTCAACTCTTCTGACTTTCTGGTTGTTTTTTAAACTTCTCATGGGATTCAAGTAGATGACGTAAACACTAAATGTACTACTATGCTGATAAATGTCCTTGAGACAACTGTGAGACTCATAAAAATTCTACTCCTAATCATAAAGAAAGCTAACAACGGGATGAATGCTACACTCCATTCCCGAGCTCCATTCCCCAGCCCAAGGCCAAGATTAATGAATCCTGCCACACTTTCTTCTAGCCTTTCCTGACTCCCAAAGCACACAATCACTAGTCATTTCATGATACGAGCTCCACTTTGTTGACATTTCAACATATCAGTCCTTGAATTCAATCTTGAGTCTCCTTATATCCAGTTTTCTATTTCCAATTTCTTTCTTACAGTCTTTCTTAGAAGCCTTATGAGTTAGTTTGGTTCACTTTCTGTATGCTTTTTTTTTTTTTTGTCAGAATCTGTGTCTCTCTTCAAATAGGATAGATGTAAATATATGTGTATGAAGTCAATCATTCCTATTTGCATCTGGGTCTACTTTCCCAAAAGTAATCTGGGAAGATGATCAAGAACTATTCATCATATACATGAATTTCCCTTCAACATTGGCTCTCCCTGGCCTGGTAAGAAAGCAAGTGGCTGACGTCCTGTGAGATTCCAAGCAGCATAAATCTTGACCATATTGCAGAGTACTACTGGCCAAGGCAAAAAAGCATGCTGGCAAAAAGACAGGAAAGAAAACACTCTTGAGTTTCCTGGGGCTACTTCCTATAATCCAGGTCGCCTGCTCTCACGGCCTTCTGAGTAACTTCTAAACAAACATGGCACTTTCACATAGCAGTGAATTTAACTGTTGCTGTACCCTAAGACTGTGCCAAAGAAAACAGTCTTTTGTTATTTAGAGGGATGAAAAAAAAGTTTCATGACTCTGTAAAACAAGTAAAGAAAATAAATCACAGCAACTAAAGGGTAAAGGAGAAGACCTACATCTCATGGTTACTTACAAAATCCTGGACATTTACCAGGCACCTTCTGAGCTGGGTTGATGTGACGAGACTAACAAGACACTTACTTTGTTGGTTTGTTTCAAAGAAATTGGGAAGGTTATTTCAAAATCCCAAAAGTAAAAGAATGAGGGCAACAATGGCATCACTAGCAATGAGGTCAACAAGGAAGGAGTCTTCTCTGTGTAACCTGCCAGCATCAATTCTCTGAAGCTGAATGGTCTTTTCCAAGCACACCATTGAATCATTTCTAAAGAAAGTTAAGAGTGGGCACAGCTCTGGGTGGTCAGAGGACACGAACTCTTTCTTGTAAAGATCAGTACTTTAGACTGGGTTTTCCCCAAAGTAGATTTTAAGATAAAGTTTGTTGTAAAGGCAATGTGTGTGGGAAGAGATTCCAGGGAGCAGGGGTGAAGGGTGGAAGGAATGAGGAAGAAAAGTCAATATATGCATTTTTAATAAGTTGACTATCATCGTGGGGGTGTCATCACTCAGGTTGTTCTCAGAAGGCTTATGAAATGTGTCTCTGAAGTGTTTGCTTGAGAAATGAAAGAGGGTTTATGCATGGCTGTTGTTTGCATTGTCCAAAGCTAGGCCCACAGCATTATCCGTCCACACTGTGTATGCATGCCTGCCGAGTGAGTTTCCATGAGGGCACTCATGCCAGTGGATCAAGGAGAAAAATGCAGCATGGGACAGAATTAAAACTTTTAAAAAATGAGTCAGAGTCTTGCAGCTAGACTCGGTGGCAGTGTCTGAGATAAAAACTGAGTCTGTAAGATTATGGAATAGTACAGAAACAGTACCAGTTGCCATTATGCAAAGTCTGATGCATGGGTAGCCTGTGTGTGTCAGAGGAGAACTGTATTCCACAAGGTTTTAAATAGTTGATTTTTCACAGGCATATTGCTAGGCCTTTCTTCCAAGTGTCTCTAGATGGACTTAAGCCTCTAACCTTTAGTTAGCAGCTGAGTGAGTTTACCATTTCCTCCATCTAAAAAGTTCAGAACAGCACACAAGCAATGCTAATTAACAGCTGACCCATTTCATTCTCAAGTCTATTTAAGTCTCGTCTATTCCAAAGTCCCTCCATGCTGGCAGCTAGCCAAAAATCCTACAAGAAGGGCTTCATGCAAAGGAGTTAGTGGAACAATCCCCAGATGTCTGGTCTTGAGGACATATTTCATATTTATCATTTTGTCCTCCAGCAACCAAATCTCAATTCTTCTCACCATCAAGCAACATTTTGGCTTACATAGACTTCATTATTGGGAAGAGCAACCCAGATCTTTACTAAGAAGTCTGAGTGTTAACTGTTCTGTTAAATATTAGGCCATGATTCTTGTAGTTAACTAGTCATCATTGACCCAAGGCATGGAAGCACCATTGCCTTGCCAATCGCCTGCAGTCTTAATATTCTCCTTCCCTCCCCATGACTCTTATATGTAATCAGTTACAATTACTCCCACAAGTATAGTTCATTTTCTTTATCACATGACCTTTGGCATGAGAAACCCAAAATGACCAGGTAGTATTCATAATTTCAAGTTCAGTAGTCTTAGTGGAAAGAAATTCTGCTGACAACCCAAAGTCACAAAGTTCAAATCTACCAAGTGCTATGTGGTTAAAGAAGGGCAATTTACTAGTTTCAATTTACCGTACCCCATCAGAAGGTCAGGTACGAGTGATATCTGACTCAATGGTACAAAACTACCCCAGTGACCAGGAATCTGTTTGCAAGAACAGGAAGCACAAATTCCAGAAAGATAAAACTGGCAATGATACTATATCATTGCATTTTATATTTTCTGTGCTTAGCTTATTTCTGTCTTCCTGCTTACTTTAATTTGTATTTGTCTGTTTTCTAGATCTAAAGATGGAATGTTCTATTATTTATTTGAAATTCTTTTACTTTCCTAATACAGAACAGAACAAGTTACTATTGAGTTGATTCTGCTCATGGCAACTCCTGGGGTCAGAGTACAGTTGTGTTCTAGAGGGTTGTGATTTTCATAAAGCACCTTAGGACATCCTGTGTGATGAAGTCCTCATGGTAATGACCAACATTTAAAGTGGATCACCCACTTTTAAATTTCTCTTGGGTGGATTTGAATTGCTAACCTTTTGGTTAGTTTCCAAACATTTAATAATTTGTGTCAACCAGACACTTACTCATTTCTTTTCTAATGTGAGTTTCCTTTGAGTTGATTCTGATTCCGTAGAACGGCTTCACAGGGTTTCCAGGCTGCTCGGCGTTATGGAAGAACACTGTCACGTTACATCTAAAACACTAAATCACTGGGCCACGAGAGCTTCTTTATTTTCTAAGTATCTAAATCTACACATTTCCATTTAAGAACTTCTTTGACTGAATTTTATAGATTGAATATGTTGTGTGTTTAGTATAAATCATTTTGAAATGTTTCTAAATCCTCATTTTTTTGACTGATGGCTACATAGATGTAGGTTAACTTATTTATAATGATTTTTAATAATTCGAGATATGTTTTAATTACGGATTTTTTTTTTTGTTCAAAGAACATACTTTGCATTATTTTAGTCTTTTTAAATGTTTTGAGACTTGTTTCATAGACTAGCATATGGTCTATCTTGGTGAATGGCCCATGTGCATTTGAAAAATGCATGAATATAGCAGCTGTTGGGTGTGGGGTTCTGTAAATGTCAATTAAGTCAGGTTGGTTGATAATGTTGTTTACATCCTCAAACTCCATACTCATTTTTTCTCTGCATAATCTGTTAATTACTTCAAGCATGATTTTAAAATATCAACTGTACTTGTAGATTTGTTTCTTTCTTTAGTGCTGTTGAGATTGCACCATGTATTTGAAGTTCTGTTTTTAGAGACATGCACATTTAGGGTTATCTTTTTGAGAAATTGAGACCTCAGTCAATGCTAAAGAGTGCTCTACTGGCTAGCCCAGTTGAGTTGCTAATCTCAAGGTTTTACTTTTCTGGTGGTTTGA